GGCAAACACATAGATGGATGTTTAGATCCCAGAGGAAGTAACTGAAAATACAGAACCTTCCCTGGAAGGTCCCCTCACCACATACAGGAATCCACGACGAGGGGAAAGTTGGTCTAATCTCCGAGTTCCACAACACTGTGTCCAGTGGTTTCCTGAATGCAGTCATTTGAACAGTTAATGTCTTTTGAAACACTCAGTATTTCCAGCTGCCTACTTACATACTATCAAAGAATTTTAGACATTAGTGACAATCTAAAGAATCAGAGAATAATAAACTGATTCGATATTTTATTAACAGGACACTTCTGTAAAAATCTATAGTTAGAAAGATTCTGCTTTGCCCTATGGTTACATGTCCCCTTTCTGAACATGTCACAAGGTTTTACTGAGTTACATTCAAAAATTTCATTAAGCAACTTTACTATCAATGCATGTCAATGAAATTGGCATTATAATGTATGTTATTATCCAATGTTTTATAACATCTGTTTTAATTCCTTTATTTCAAAAGAAACTTAAAAAAAAACTCTTAATCTTTGGCCTTGTTGTCCCATGATGCACAAGCATTTACAAGTCTCAGCTTTTGGTTTTTGTAACTTAAGTAATTTTTCTCATACACTTCACCTCAGTGTGTATACAGAAACTAGGATAATCACTCTGTTTACACATCCTTCCTTTTAATTCTTCAGGGCAAGTTCCAAGAAAAGAAAAGTAAATTTCTTGGGAACTCTTGACAGAAGCTAAGTCCACTTTCTACCCGTAGTCATATGAATTTACACTCAGCACTATTTATTCTTGTAGATTGTTTACAAACAATAGAAAGAGTGAATTCTATACTACAATTTTCCATTGGTGCACAGAATTCCATACAGTCTTTTCAAACTATTCTTAATATTGTTGGTAGCAGATGTTCCCAATACAATGTAACATTGTTTTTTTTATCTAGAAATATGTTAGTTAGATAGATAGTTAAATTTATTTAGGTTTCAGTTTTATATTTTAGACAGTTATGTGTTATTTATGTTTCCAAATGCATATTAGAAATGTTTAACTTTTTTAAATATAACCCAAACTGCCTTGGTTCATGAGGCTAAGTGGAGTACGCCAAACAAAAACATTCTGCCAAAAAATAAAGTTTCTCCACTGATCATACTTGCTTGAGGATGCCCTTTGACACATATCATGATAGATAATAATGCTAAAGGACAGGAAATGAAAATAAACTATATGTGAAAATGTAAAGACTTGCAATTAAGAATATTTTTTATGATTATTAGATGAAAAATTAAAAGGTAAAAACGATAGGACGAAAGGGAAAGATGGTACAAGGAACATGTTGTAATGGGTTCAAAGGGTGAACCAGACAAAACATGAAGGACAACACTGAGATTCCAATCCAGCAAAACAAAGGGACATGGTGGATGGACCAGACAAAAGGAATGGAAAGGAAAGGAAATAACTGGGGAGAAAAAGGCATTTCAGAAGTGAAACAAAGGAAAGTGTTTAACACAGCAGCCTTATAACTACCAACAGTTGACATGGACAAACCCTGATTAAATAACCAGGTGAAGAAATGGGACAGATGAGGAAAAGAAGGACAGGATCAGTGGAATCCATGGTGAATGGACTAAAGTCTAAAGGAAGACCAATGCCTCTGGTACTCAGACAAGGAGGAAGGTCAAAAGGTATGGGCAAGGAAAGAAAGTGATACACCAAGATTGCCGTGGGCTCAGTAAAGAAGATCCAGCATCTGAAAACACAAGAGATCTGAATTTGGTTCCTACTTGTTTGGTGATATAGCTGACAACAGTGGAATAAACCATAACCACCTGCTACCTCAGGAGTGAGAGGAAATGATACTGAGCCCAACAAACTGCCAAAAGTTCCAGAAAGTTGAAATGGAGAGTAGCCTCCTTGACAGAACATTGACTGGAAATCTCTTGGCAATCAAGGAAGCCCCCCCCCCAAACCACCAATAAACAAATGAGACTCAAAACAAGAAGAAAGTAATAGGAACCTCCATTCTGGTCAGTTCTCTGTTGAGCCATCAAACAAGGTAGGCCCTGATCCCAGGGGGAAGGGTAATGGGATGGTCCAAGGGATTGTTGTAGAAGTTCTATTGATACAGAAGCATCCAGAGAAAGGAATGCATGTAACTCAACCTAAGGAAATAAGAGCTTCAAAGGAAGCCCACATCCACTCAAGAGAGAGAGAGAACCCCTCATGCATTGAGAAAAGGATAAGGTAGGGTCATTAAGATTACCTGCACCATATCCCTGGAACTAAGTGAAGCAGACTGGGCCTGATGAAGATGGGAATGGAAAAAAAAACCTCAATGGAATGAGAGATTGAGTGAGGTGAAGAATGGAACTCTCCAACTGGATCAGAATACCCCACCTGATTAACTTCCCGAAGAAGTAGGCAGGCACGATTGACTGACTAGGCATGGATAGCAAGACAGTCATCCATGAAAAGGAGAGTCTGAAGACCCTCTGTGTGAAAATGACTGACAAAAGAGCTTTACCACTCAACAAAACCCATGGAGCTGAAGACAAACTAAATAGTAGCTCCTGAAACTGTAAGATATAACCACGTGGACGAACCAAAGAAATCGACATGACACTCGTGCAGTTGGAATATGAAGATAGGCACCACCCAATCAGCAACCCTTTGTGAAGGAGGTTTGGAACAGACCAGACAAGACGACTGGAAGAAGTACGATCTCGAGGAGGGAAGGATATCTGGGAAGTGGATGGGGGAGGAGTGGAACTTAAGGCAGAAACCTTCAGATAGAAGCCGTAGAACCCACAGAACTGTTGTGAAGTGTATCCAAAAAGACATATACACTAAACATACTTAGAGAAAGTATTCATAACTAATAAAATCTAGAATGTGAAAGGAAGAAATTGTTGACCGAATGTAAGACATGAACTCCCCATGAACCAAGGCCTGTGCTTCCCTAGCAGACATCATCATCCCTGAGATCTGGGGACTTGTGTCAGATTTATTGTCTACCATCGAGGGAAGTACACCATCCACCATTCAAATGAACACATTAGAATTCAGAAATCAGAAACACTTCTAAAATAATCAAGTAGAAACAATGGAAATCAAACACAAAAAGTTGAAACTGATAAAAATTTGTGATCAAGAACAATAAACATTTTGTAGTCACATGGAAAGCAAGTTAAAACAGATGTCTACACTACAATGCCAATCGAGAAAGTGAGAATTACTCTAGAACAGTAGAGGGAGAAATCTGCACTAGTGTAGTGTGTGTAGTATGATTGGTGGAGGGTAGTCAGATGATCAGCACATTCAGAAATGGTGCAAAACTGATGGGGTGTAAATGACTGGTGTCCTGTTAGCAACAATTTTAGCAATGCTTAGAGGGCAGTCCAGGATCAAGATAACTTTGGGTGAGAAGTGGGAAGATCATTTTGAGAAGTATATGTTTAGTAATTGTTACAAAAGCTTTTTCTGAGCATTTACAGATATGAAGTCGGGAATATAGCCAAGTTTTACTTGGAAGCAGTATGTGTCTGAGAAAACTATTTCATTTTTTTCTATTTTAAATATCATACATAACAGGAGAGCTAGAAAATACAAAAATGATGAAGTTTTTCATTTATATATCATGCCAGTTAAAGGAAGCACTCTGACCTTTAAGCAGGCTATAAACTTTAGCTGCTGAGCCATGATGTCCAACTTTGTATCCTGTTTAGTTTCTTCAGCTTTGGAAGCTAACAGAAAAGGGTTTTGAAATATAAAAACTGTGATATGCAATCATAATATTATCACCAAAAAAGAAAAACATTCTTGTTTGTTTTCACTCAGTAAAAAAACTTGTTTTACTTATAACTAAATACAAGATTTTTTTCATACAATGTTCTGCAGTGTATAGCATTTAAACTCTTCTTATAACCAATAACATCAATAGTTAACCAAAATGATTGGTGTAGTGCTCTTTTATGAGATATTTAACCTAAAAAGTACAAAACAAATAAAAAGTATATTGCATCACAGTAACCTTAAACTTGTTTCAATTACTTTACAAATAAAGATCCTTATAACTGAAAAATTTCAAGCCATGAACTTTGCCAGAAGTTCTCAAAATTAACCACTTTTATGTATGTGCATTGACTTAAATAAACTTCATGCTTTTCAATTTTACTTTTTATTAATACTTGATTATTTTAATAACATAATATTACTCAAAGTCTTAATACTCTTTTATTAATCTTTTCTTACAGTAAAGTGTTATAAAGTTTACTGCTAATGACTGAGAAAGAACATTTATATTTTAAGGGAAAGTGGATTCTGATACATTTTTGACTTTGTAACCTGTCATGGCTTTTATCTTCTTTTTTTCTTATTGTTGGGATCTTTACAGGCAAGTGTAAAACTGGGAAACCCTATTGCAAGACATACAGGTAAAACATCCTTAACTAAACTGTTCTATCTTACATTTTACTTTCTCAGTGTCAACTTTGGCTTTCACACTAATTCCTGATTCTTCATCAGAACTAGATTCTGAGTCATCCAACACATTAAATGATACAGGCTCATCCAAAGCTGAACTTGAAACAACTGGTGTACTCCAATCAAAATCCAATGCATTATCTTCTTTAGTGACTGGCTGGCTCCAATCCAACTGAACAGTTTTCTCAGTTTCATCCAGATCATCCAAAGTTCCAGACTTCACATGATTCAGATTCTTTGTTTTAAACTGAAGGAGAGGATCAGGACTTGGGGGAACACCCTCCTCAAGAACGGAGATATCTGTTGCCACCAGGTTTGGTAACCGGGAAAGTACTTCAAGGGCTAATGCTGGGCAGCCAGCACGAAAATGTAAATTAGCAGTTGTGAAAAACAGCCGTCGCTCCAAAGGAGTGATGATGTCATTTGTTACCTGAAAATTAAAAAACAAACATTAACTTAATTTAAAAAGGTTGAAACACTATCAGAGTTTCAGTTTCATGGGCTGACTAATATGACTGTCAGTCTCAATAAATCCCTTCAGATTGGGTGCTCTCAGATCTTTTAACAGCTGAATATCTTGGGTTACTTTTCCCAAAAAATTGTAGGACTGACCATCACATTATAATGTATTCATAACTGAAAGGGGGAGCATGATTGGTGCTGGGTTTTGATTCTGCATCTCACAGATTGTAAGTTATGCACCCAAACAACCAGGTCATGCCAGGCCTCAAGTTTAAATAAAACATGTTCCAGACTGAATGATGTTTTGATGAGAGATGCAATTACTTAACATTTTCATTATGTTAAAAACTAGTACAAAAAAAGGTTACAATGAAATAACATATTCACTGTAATGCTTGAATGATAAAAAGATAAAAAAGGTTAGCTAAATCTTATATTTAGATCTATGTTTACTTTACAGTAATTATCACTGTCATCTCAAGATAAAAAATAAATAAAACAGCAGATATGTTTAAAATTATCTATGTTACATGCAGTTGCACTTAATGTAAAAACCAAAAGATCATTATTGCAGAGAATGAGTACAATGCCTTAAGACAATGTAATATAAATTTATGGTAAAATGTGAAAGAATTAAAGAAATGTTTATTTTTGTATAAGTGTTCACATAAAAATAAATTACTAATTAAAATAAAAAAGTTATAAAAATCTACTTTTAAAAATATGAGTGAATTTAAGTAGAATAATGAAAAAATTTCAGTAATTCATATACAACTTTTTAAAATTCAGATATAATGAAAAAAACATTTAAATTAGTCAGCACAAAACCTGGTAATTTTTTTTTGAAATCATTAAGTAAATTCTAAGAATAAGCATCTTAGTTTTTAAACTAAGAGTAATTCTATGGCTAAAATCTATTAGCACCCAAGGAAATACAGATCAGTTAATTAAAATGATTTAGCTTGTTATTTACACAGCACTGAAGCTTATTAGGGTTAACAAGTTATTAATCTGATCTCTATGACATTTAGTGTAATAAAAATGCAAAGAACAACTGAACTACACTTGCTTTTCAACAATATGGGCCAGCAAAAGCAAAACATTCCAAATGGTGAAGTATAAAGTTTAATTTACTAAAGGAAATAAAACTTTTTAATACAAGAATATACTGCTGTAGAAAAAATTATTAATTTTTAATGATGTTATAAAGATATTCACCTTTGAATTTATTTTTCAATACAGAAAACAAAAGGAAAAATCAAATGTACCTGTAGAGCTGATTTTTGATCAGCTGGATCAATACTGTATTTGAATCCAGTTAACATGAGGGAGCGAGCTTTCTTCTTGTCTTGAACTGTCTGAGCTAATTGTCTTCGAACTACCAGAGGATGAGTGCGAAGATAAAGGTAGAAGTTGAACACACTTGGATTAGCTAGGAACAAAAGGAAAAATAAAATTCAGCAATAAACCTTTTCAGTTGCAAAACAATTTTATAATTAGTTAAATTAACACCAAGTTTATATAAAAGTTGATACAATTCTTTAAAGCTCTTTCATATTATTTACTATACAAAAATCTTAGTGTCAACTTTAATAGCATTTTAGCATTAAAGAAATCACCCAAAAGAAAAATTAATTCCTCCATAGATGAGATCATTGTGAGAGTTTGTAATGGTATAAAACACCGTATATTATGTTTTGATAAATGAAATAGAGAAGCTCATAACCACTGAATAACAGTATGAAAAATCCTCTACTTGTGATATTTCAATCCTTAAAATGTATAAATAATCAGGCATTAAATATGTTGATACTATCTTAATTAATTAGAACTAACATGAAAACTAAAGGAAACAGCAATTGCAGATGACCAGTCAGCCACACAGAAGTCTGATGCAACAAACAAAAATATTTCACTTATAATACTGGGATGACTTAGATATAAATAGCATAAAACAGATAGATTCATCAGCAAACTATACTGTAATATTTGAATCTGAATACCATCTACTAATGACTTGAATTTTTAATACCAGATGATTGCAGTAAACATTATCAACTGTACAACCACACACAATGAAACTGGTACAAGATATTAACAAATACAAGAAATAAGACATAAAAAATTATGATGAAGCAAATATTTAACTTAGAAATATAAATCATAAAATGAATAAAAACATTCATGACTAATTCCTGTACTTAAATTAAATATGCTTATCTATTTTTTAATAAGTGCTAAGTTTTTTAAATGATGGTATTTACCTGAAGCCTGTTTTGTGCTAGATTTTTCATCATCATCTTGCACTCTTGGGTGAGATTGTCCAACTCCAGTTTGGAGGAGTGTGTTCAAGGCTCCATTATAATCCTGCAGAAGCCAGTGTGCCATACTTCTCAGAAAAGGATCAGGATGGGCATGTGACACAGAATAGTTGTTTCCTTCAGCATCACAGCCTAGGATTTCTTCATAAATGAGTCTTCGCAGGTTTAGAGGGGTAGTTTCTAAATCTCCTTCATACAAGCGAACAATGACCATTGCTAACTGAAGATCATTTAACTTGTTTAGACACACCTAAAAAGAAAAGGAATTGTAATACATTAAGATAACTTTCATTACAGGACTATAAAAAACAATTCATAATCTCTATATATATCTAATAGTTTGATACAAAAAACATTTTCCCACCAAAAATTATCTCCTCTTAACTAGAGTGGTTAATATTATTAATATTAATTATTCACCAATAAACCTTTTCAGTTACAAATTAATTATTAATACAGGTTTCACATAGTCAACTTGCAGTCCTTACCATATATGCTGCATGGTAATCATGTTATTTAACTTTAGTGACTTAAACTATTAGTGACATCAGATGTGACTATGTGAAAGTTACTGACAGCCTCAAAGTGCACAAAGATTTTAAAGTAAATTTCAGAGGTATATTTGCCTTATTCACTACCAAACTTAAATGTTAATCTCTGTCAGTAAACTAAACTAATGTTGTTTCTGTTGTTTGTAGATTTTTGTGCAAAGCTACTCAAGGGCTATCTATACTAATCATCCTTAATTTTAAAGTGATAGACTAAAGGGAAGGCAATCAGTCAACATTACCTGCCACCAACTTGTGGGCTACTCTAATCAAATAGTGGGATTTGGTTATTACACTTATAACTCACTCAATGCCCCAAATTGCATAACAGTAATTTTATTTTTTGACACTAAAGGGGTACAAACCAAAAAACCTCAGATCCACAGTCCAGCATGCTCACCACTAACATGCATTTTCCTATCTAAAGAAATGTAACTTATAGCTTGGAAAGTTTTATTCATGTGTAACTCAACAGTATTAATGAATGTCAATACCAAGTTCATTGTACAGTATAGTAAAGTAGTTATAATTTTTATGCTAAAGTACTGTTATAAAAATAAAGACTCTTATAAAACCTTACAATTCAGACAAGAATATCTGATGGCAGTTAGAATCATAACTTACAATATTTGCAATCTATTTTATTTAAAGAAAATAACTCACAAAAAAACTTATATATTGAATCTTGATCCAAAAAGAGCAAAAAGATAAATAAAAAATATCTACTCAAAAACACCTCAGGTGTGAAAAAAAAGGTAGCAGCCAAACTGGTAGTTACACATACAGCATTGATAAGAATTTTACATTTTTCATTCATTAGTTAGCCAGGTCTCATTTTTTTCTGTTCAACTTTGGGCATGATGGTGGGTAAAACAAAATCCACTGAAAATATGCAATAGTTTGGATTATTACAGTCCAGGTTACAGAAAATGGAAAATTGCTAAACTGTCACTCCTGTTAACAACACATAGTGTGTCCTGCAGGTTGTTTTGCAAGTAACAATTTAACCATTGTAAATATATTCTAACATCAGAATTATTAGAAACATCATACTTCAATAGCATCTTGAATTGCTCCTGCTAGTAGAAAAAAAGCAGCAGCATGCTCAAAACGCTGCTTTCCAAGAAGTGCAAAAGCATTTTTTAAGGCAGATTTCCTCCACCGGTCTTCAGCAAAGTTGTTCTGGAAAAAAGCAGTCATCTTCTGGTCACCTACTGACCTGAAATACATAACCATATCTATTCTCACATTCTATAGCTTACTGCAATTTTTCATCTAAAAATGTTGAAGACAAGCAAGGGTCTAATATTAATTTTTATAAACAATTACATGTACAAGTTTTTTACACAAGTATTCTCTAAGCTTTTTTAAACTTGTATAACAAGTGGCTTGTAAACAATACAGGATATCTAAAAAAAACAACTTAGTATGCTATGGACATCTAAAGTCACAAAACTAGACAATTCATTAACTACTCGTACAATACTTGTGATCTGAAAAAAGGAAGAAGATAGCTATAACAGAATAAATACTGTACTGTTGTGCTAATATTTTTATGAAAATCCAGGAATAACTTCATTGGTTAGTTTTAGTTGCTAAAAATGGTATTAGATAACAATTAACACCCACATATTGTAGATAAGAGAAACGAGTGGGTCTTGACATGTGAAAGTAAAGTTTCTTTCACTATAAACTGTGCATTCATATAAACTGAACATTGCCATAATACAGTTTGAATCAATGGTGCTCATCCTCCTACCCCCCCCCCCCAAGGTCTTGGAGGAGTCCCCCTACTTTTAGAAGATCTCCCTTCAAGAAAAAAACCTATAGTTAGTTAACTCTGTTGCCCCGGGTACCCTTTACTGTGCATGACACAAGGTTTTAATGTCTCACATTCAAAATTTTATTAAACTACTTTTCTTTTATGTTATACCAATTAGAATAGCATAAAATTTTAAGCTAATAGTCCATATTTTAATAGTATACAAGTTTTAAGTTCTTAATTCTAAAAGGAAATATATAGAAAAAATCCTGAATATCCACTAGTGTAACACACATGACACATTTTGTCTTAGCATGTCATCATTCCTATTTTATCCATCACCCTTAAAAAATGTACGAAATTAAATGTAAAATGCTCTCTTTAAAATCATTATTGCTCAAACAGACCATAATTTTTATAGCCTTCAATTTTGTTTGGTTACAGAGCTATCAAAGACAAAATCAGACCCCTCCTGTCACATCCTCTCTTTCACAACTCGTTGATAGTTCTCTCTTACATTTCATTATATATTATTTATAACCAATAGAAAGTCAAGGTTTTCATCTATCAAATGGCGTATTGTATAACATTGTGTTCTGAACAGATAACCGTCAATGACACTCTGAGTAGCAACATCGTTCCCATGGGAAAGTTAACGACTAGCTTGGATGAATTTGTAATAGCTCTTGTTGCATCGTTAGAAAGTGAATTTGTCTACTTTTTGGATGTTATTAGTCTATATTCTTTGGTGTATTACTTAATTAAATAAAAATTGTTAAGTGCTTTACTATAATCATTAAAAAAATACAGCTAACTTACTCCTCGACAATCGAGGGCGAGTAAAAAGAAA